CAGGGCCTTTGATTTCCAGTCACAGGATCAAGGGCCTGAGACAGACAAAAGATACTTCAAAACAGACTAATGTGCTTTGCTCTTCTCCCCATCCTCTTTGCTTCTGCAGCCCCAGGTGCTCACCACAGCTGGTTTGAGAAGGAACCAACACAAGCAGTGGTTAAAGAGCTTTTCACTGACAAGCGACATCTCTCTAACAGTACAAGTCTGCACCCATTTTTATTGCATAAAGAGTTAACAAGTGGTGCACATACTTGTCACCACAGGAGTACTTCACTCTGCCCAAGAGCAACTGCAAATGCTGCTGCCATTTGGTCCACAGCTACCAAGGGAGGACATCACATCACTGCTGGCCATGCTTTCATATCTGTGAACTCATCAACTCGTAGCTCATAGGCTAGTTGCTAAGACTCATCACAACATCCCCATCTTGAGACTGCTGCTTTCTTCACGACCTATCACCACAATAGCAGAGCCCATGCCATTTCCTGAGCTCAGTATGAGCCAAAGACCAACAGCAGCCTCTATTTTCTCACTGTAAAACTGAAGTTCTTTCCAAGACACTCTTTTCGTAATGAGGCCTCAAGAATGACCCTGTACAAAGTTTGTGTTGCTTTTAAGCAGCTAGGAAAAGGAGACTTAGCAGCCATACCAAGGAATCAGGAAGAACAAGAGTTCTCTAGTGACAAGCAGAATATACTGCTGCACTTCATATTTGATGTTTAGACACTCGGCAAGGAGCACATTTACACTCCAACATTTTGTTGTACCATTCTGAGCCATTGTCAGAAAGATTTAGGAAGCATTTTCCACAAAAGAGCAGAAATAACTGAAACAGCTTCCATTCAGACTAGCAGAACAACTTCACCCCTCATCTGTCATGCTCTTTCAGTGAGCTCCTTGAAACGATTAAACTTTCAGTGACATACCTTAACTAATAAGGCATCAAATTATTATATGAAGGTCTGTAATAAATAACTGTCACTATTAAATTTTAAGGTGAAACAAATTTAGAAACAGCTCTCTCATTCCTGTCTGAAGTTAGGTTGTCTGGGCGTTTGCTCCGGGTCTGGCTACAATTTCAGTGCATTTCATCTACTAGCAGAAGGGTAGAAAAAAAGAGACATAAAAAACTCTAAGCTCTTGTTAATTACAAACTAAATTAAAAAAAAAAAAATCTCAAATTGTTTACATTGTTTTCATTTGCTATTAGCTTGTGAAAAAGGGACAGCTTTGAATGATGCCCTGTAACATTACCTATCAACTACTGCAGCAGTCAATACCTAATGCTGCAGACTCAACACTTGTAAGTTTGAGGTTTCTGTTGTGGAAACAAAATCTGAAACCTGCACTGAGATAGCAAGGGGGGCAGATACTCTCTTAGGTTTGTGTTTCTTTACGTTACAATTTTCTCCATGATACCTTCCTTTCCGAGTTAAGAGTATAGCATGCTACACTGTCAGTCACGAAGAGAGGTGACTGGGAACATTTACAATACACAGAAAAGCTTATTATTTTATTTAATTCTCTGTAAAGCACAAACTGAATTTGTGGTTTTTTCTCTCAACTTTTTGAGTTAGAAGAAATCTCTCAGGTGGAGAAGAATTGATGTTCAATGTCCCAAGTCAGAACTTTTTTTTTAAACAAAGAAAAAATCATATAAGTAAAGGAAATGAATTTATGAATGTGTAATGCACTTAAGTCAGATAAAAGCAAAAGGGCATACAAAGTTGCTAATGAAGCTGGAATCTGGAAAATCTCTTCCCCCCAAAAAAACCTTCTAAAGGGAAGGCAATCTTCAAGGTGACTTTCAAAAGTGTATTTCCTCTTCCCATTTTTCATTTGTTTTCTACATTTTCCTGTGTAGAAAAAGAGGATTAGCCCCCCAGGCCCGTCTGCCATCTATCTCCCCTGGGGCTAGAAACTGGGATGGTAAAGGTGTGCCAAGCCTCCAGTGCCACATTACTGTTTAAAATGAAGTTCAAAGACCGGGAAAAGGCTCCAGGAGCCTCCTTTCCAACCTCTCCTATCCTGGGCAAGTCCACTCACGGATTTCTGAGCTCTCCAGCAGCGTCTCTCCAACAGACAACAGCCTGCCCTGTGTCTTGTGGCTGCTTTTCCCCTTTTGCAGAAAGAGCTTTTGCCCTGTCCTTACTGGCATCCAACCCAGCACTTCTCAGAGCTGTGCTCCCCTGCAGCAAACCAAGAGCCAGGGCTTACAAACAATCACGTGTGGTCAAGAAACTGGAACAGGTCCTGGAGGAGATCCAGGAGTCTTCTCATGGTATACATCCTCTGTGTCCTCTTAAAGGGCTCCTAGTGCCTACATCTCCAGCACTGAAAGTTGAGTGAAACATAAAGAAAGATCTGGCCAGGTCTAAAAATCTTAGAGGACATGTCCTGACTTCAAAGAGAAAGATTAATAATAATGAAGTGGTATGCCCAAGAAGTCCTCTGATTCCCTGCTATTTGCAAGTATGATATCAGTGTTAAGAAGGATGGATTCAATCACTGTTAAAAAGGTGTGGGTGTGTGTTTATATATACATATACACACAAATATACATACATGTGTGTGTATATGTGTGAATGTATATGGCTCCATGGACGGGTAAGCAAACACCACTAAAATCTTGATTCTCCTTTATCTCTACATTGCACGCAGCCATCACTTCCCCATGCCCTGCCATTCACATCCCTCTGCTCTAGTCGTGTCTCACCTGAATTACTATGTTTGTCTTCATGCCTGATCCCCTTCCTCCCATGCTCACCTCTTCCAGCCTCACCTCCTCCATTCAGCCCTCTCCATGCAACCTGCACTGTTTTGTGCTGTTTCAGCTCCTGCCACAAATCCCTTTCATGTAACTCTCTCCCTGCTACCTAAGCACTTTTTCTCTTGTTTGAAAGAGCCAGCTGTGAAGATGACAGCCATCTCCCCAGCCAGCTGTTAAGATCACAGCTGGCATCCAAAGTGTGTGTTGAGGACAGCAAGTTACACCTCCCGCAGCTGCGGTGCCCACATGGTGGCCTGGCCCCAGGACTGGCAGAGCAGGCAGCTCCGGTGCCCCAATGCCTTGAAACAGCTTCTTGGTACCAGCTGGGCCAGATACATCCCCCCATCCGTGCCCTGGGCAACGCCTCGCCTGACTCCCTCCATGCTCCTTTTTCCTGTAAGGAAGATAACTGCTAGGGAGAGAGGGAGTAGAACAGGGGACAATTACTGGTGCTTTGGAATTTCTTTTTCCTCTTTTTAGATTACAAACTGTTGCATTTCCAAAACAACTTATTTCCACTTTGATATCCACATTTCCCCTTGCTTTATCAAACTTTGTCTTGTACCTCCCAGCTCCTCCGTCTGTCCCCTGATAGTGTTTCACTGGTGCTTTGAGTGAACCATCATTTTGATTTTCCATTTAGTTCACTGTGCTGAGGAAAGTCCAGTTTGAAGCAACATTGCTGAGAAATCTGGACTGTCTGCTAAATGAATATAGTGTTTTATCTTTTGGGGATAACGCTACTTTACTAGCTGGTAACTTATTTCCTTAAACACTTGTTTTCTTATTTATCTTTTACAGTCCACAACTTGGACCATCTTACAAGAGTGATAGTTAAAATGTGGCAAGTGCTGATATTTTAAAGGCCAGATTTGACAAGCCTCAGACTGATGGGTGGGAGTTATTGGCTTATGATAATAGATTTTTAAAAAATTGCAGGAGGTAGCATTGAGTCTCTGTGCCTTGGTACCCCCTCAGCAGACACAGCAAAAGCTGACAGTGTAAGGGACACAATTTTCAGAGCCCTTTTCTATTGCCGAGCAGGTGCAAAGGCAGA